TCCAGTAAATGCCTAGGGTCTTAACTATCGAAGAATCATCAAAGTATTTCGGATGAATTTTATCTTTAGTTAACCCAGTTAGAATATTTGGTTCGTTTAATGCCCATTGTCTTATGTTGAGACATCCCCGTTTAAGTAATTGTATAATTTCATCACGCAACGTGATAGCTTCTTCAATTGAATTGGCACCGGTCAATAAATAGTCCACGTAAAGATCCCTTTTAAGAGTCATTTTAAACAACGAATAGCGAGAAATGGGGCTGATGACAATCTGAATGTAACGGTTTTTAATTCAAATGTTCCGATTTCACCCTTGTCGTCTCCCCATAGGATACGTTGATATTCTCGATCTTCTGGTCGTACAAGAAAATGGCGATACATTTTTTCTGTCTCCGGTTAACACGTACGGGTGCATCCTGAATCGTAAAAGTAGTGAAAAAATGTCATCTTGAATGGTAGGATCTATCATTTGCGTATCATTTAGTGATAATCCACTGCTGGATTTTGCTGATGCATCAAAAACTACACGTACTTTGGTCGTCGTTCTAGAGAGTTTTACCACTGCGTGATGTGGTAAGTAAAGGCCGCGAGTATCGTAATTCGTTACCCTGTAACAGGTTCGGGCTCGGTGCGGTGCGGTAGAACCGTCGCGGGTCGGGGCGCCGACTCAGTCGGTCGCCAGGTTACGCGTTCGAGTGTTGCTTAGCCTGGATGCATGCAACTCATCCCCAGGGAGGTCGGGAAGGAAATGACGGTGCCCCAAAGGGGTCGAGCAGGTAGCGGTCGCACACCCACACTCTCACTATTGGACACTATTTGTCCGATGCTAAGGCATGAAAGTGCTTGCCGATCAGCGTGTCGATGGGTGCTGGTTGATGAAAACGTGGGTCTGCTAATTTTATATTAGCCAGAATTGAAAGTTTTGATCGATCTATTTGAGTGTCAGGTAAGAATCCAGAAATTTTTGGTATCGTAAAAAATATTAAATTTCGTTGGTAATTTGAAACGCGAGATTTTATTACGGTAATTACAATCTTTTTGGTGACAGTATTTAGTTGATTTAAAGCTTCGATGGCTATTGATTGATTTTTGCTGGGAAGTCGTAATTTTGTAGCTAATCTCTCTGTCATAAAATTTGCATTCGAACATGTGTCTACTAATATTCGACATTTAATCGGTTGTTGATCACGATCGAAAACGTAAACAATTGCGGTGGCCATTATTCCATTCAATAACCCACCAGTTACAAGAGAAATGTGACGACACTTGGAAACGCATGGTCGTGAATGATCTAATTCTATTCATGTCGTTTTTTCCGAATTAGAAGATGTTTTCTAATGAAGGTGTGTGTTATGGAGTTTATTGCAAATGCGACATCGTCCCGCTTTGCAGTTTTCAGGACTATGGCCTGGTCGGAGACAATTGATGCATACTTGTGCCCTTTCCGCAGCTTCAATTCGTTTATCAACTGGTAGGATTGAGAATTTTTTACATGAATAAATTGGATGTGATCCAGTGTTACAAATTCTACATAGCAAATTGGAAGTTGTCGCAAAGACGCGTGTTTTCTGTCTCTTTGTAGGTAAGAAATCGCGAGACTGGTACGGGTTTATACGTTTCTTATCTATTTTCTGAAATTTGTGACACCGCATATCCATTATCTTGCTTTTTCAGTGATAAACGTGTTTGTTGTTATTCGAGTTTGAATCGTCAGTCTGTTCTATGTCGTACTCTTTGCATTGGTGCGCGGCCATATGTAAATACTTAAAAACATCTGTAATTTTGGGGATTTCTGTTGTTGTCTGTGTCGTTTCCCAACCCTTTCTAATCTCTTTAGACATTTTCGAGATTACGATGCTTGTAAGAAGATCTGAGCCAATCCCAAGTGGTTGTAAAGAACGTATGTGAAGTTGCATGTAGCTTGCGAGGTCTCGAATCGATTCAGACGAGTTGTTTTTCATCGCGGGAGTATCGCGAATAAGAGTAGCGTGTCGAAGAATAAGTGCGCGTTTATTATCATACATTTCATTTAAATGTTTCCACGCCACTTCATAATTATCTTCGCTAATCATAAGTGCGTCAATCGCGTCTTCTGCTTTGCCAGACAATGAGAGTCGAAGATAGTTTAATTTTTGGACGTTGCTCAAACCAGAATATTTATGTATCATATTCGTAAAAGCGTTTTTGAGAGTGATCCACTGTTCGATACGACCGTCGAATTTAGGAAGATCAATTTTAGGGAGATTTATTTGACACGATATGGGTAAAGTTGTCGCGGTGTGTGTGTTCTTCGTTTGTCGCTCGCGCAGTACTCGTATCACCTCGTTCGAGTATCATGTGTTGCGTATCGTTACTTTTGATAAAGATAAATTAATTCCCATGTCACTCCTAGATGGCAGCAGAGACCCGTTTGCCCGTTGTTATCGAATGTGAATGAGCCCCTGTGTTCGGGAAATAATCCCGATTGTAAATGTTGTACGTATTTAATTTTAATTTGTAAATATCTGTATATACAATAAACTACCGATCGAGGAGCAGTGGTTGCGCCGGCGGGGTGCCCCTCTCTCCGCTCGGGAGTTTGGGTGGATCGAGTAGCTTGACTTCCGCGGCGGAGAGAGGAGCGAGGAACCGAAGACCCCCGATCGATCCCGATCGCCTTCGGGCCGGCCGCGCGCTTGTCGATCGTATTCATTACATTTCAAAACGCTAATCAGAACATTACAAGTTTTCGATCACCTGTTCGAGTTCTTGTCTATAACCGTCACGCGAATTAGCGAAAGTTCCGCTTCTTATTCTTGCGCAGAAGAATAAAATAACCACGCTCGAATCATCGAAGCCGGCAAATCGTTAAAAATAAAAGACGCGAAATATTTTCGAGTCAATAAAACCAATTGTTATTTATTTCGGCAGTTTTCGCGAACACCTTGCGTTTGGCAATTCTGTTTGAAGTTAGTTTAGCGCCAACTACGATTTTCTTGAATTTATGGTATTTCGTTTTTTTTTTTATTGCATTTTATTTAAAACAATTTATTAATACTCACTCGCATAGCGACCGTTAACTAGTATAGACTTCTATTGTAAAAGCTTGTATTTAAAGTAAAGAAATTCAACTTTTGTGTTAAATTAGTTATATTTAAACAGTTATAATAAAGTTCATTTCTTAATTTATCTTAAATTAACTTATTCCTGGCTAAGTCGCATGTAGTTCTAATAATCTTGTCACATGCGGCCTGAACGCCAGAAAAACCCTAAGTCCTTAAAAATAAAACCGCACGGACTCGGAACAAAATTGGTGACAGCGGTGGGATCTTTCCTACATTAAATAATTTTATTAACTCGGGGCATTTGAGTCATTGCAGGAGCAAGGGCAAATGTTGGAAAAGGTGATCTCGACGACTGTGCAAGTTAATAATCGTTGATCACATGCACCTTGCCCACGGGTCTTCCTGCTGAATCAGATCGAGGGACGATCATCGCAAGACGAGGACTCAGGAAAAGGATAGCTGGACGAGGATTCAGGAGAAAGATCGCAGGACGAGGATTCAGGAGAAGGATAGCTGGACGAGGATTCAGGAGAAGGATTGGTGAATTATTGATTGCTGCGTACATATATATATATACATTCGCTCTTTTCCGCTCGCAAAGCTTATACATATAAATATATAATATTTTTCGGATTTTGTTGTAAAAAAAAACATGCCTCCGTACATTACGGGATTTAGAAAGTTCAAAAAAGGGCGAAAAGGAGCCTTGAGTAGTAGTGGTTCTTTTGAGACTGAGGATGTGGGAGTACAGTTTTCCGCGAATAATCAGATTTCTATTGTAGAACAGTGCAATGAAATGGGTGAAGTGCCGTTACAAGTTGCTTTGGGTGAAAATATTTCTTCTGGTACAAATAGTGAATATTCATCTTCAAATACGTCTACTACTGAAAATATTGAAATACCTTCGAATGTTTCGGAAATTGCGTTTATGCCGTTAAAAATGGCCGCTAATCTAGTCTCGATGTTTGATGGTAAAGCTAGTTCTTTAACAAAATTTATCAGACAATGTAACCTCGCGAATTCCCGAGTTAGGGCTGGGGATAGGATAAATTTACTAGCTCTAATACGGAACAAAATATGTGGGCATGTAGACCAGTTGATTGCAGGCAGCTGCGAGCCGAATACTTTAAAGGAACTAATAAATATAATTAAATCAATTTTTGTGCAGTCTTTTGATATAGATCGAATTTACGATGAGTTAAAAATGCTTATCAAGGTAATGGGGAGAGTGTCGAGGGTTATGGAGCACGGGTTAACGAAATTTTGGATAGGTGACTCACGGCGGTAAAGGAGAACTTTGATTTTCAGCAATCTGAGGGGGTCAGGGTTCTCCTTAAGAGATCTGCGATTTCGGGATTCAAGAGAGGTTTATTTAATGTTAATATCAGAATGCTAATGATTAGAGATCAGGCAGATAGTTTGGAGTCCATGATTTTGTAGGAAAAGCGGGCATACGGAGGAACGGTATTTTAGTAAAAACTCGCTAAATGCAGAGTCAAATGTTCGCAGGACACTTAGATGTAGATTTTGTGGAAAAAGCGGGCATACAGAGGAACAGTGTTTTAATAAGAACTCGCCTTCTAAATTCAGGACATCCGGATTTCTCCCCGCAGAGTTTTCACAGGATTTAAACTTCAACAGGGGCCCTCGAACAAACGCATCGCAGGACAAACCCTTAATTGCACGCGTAGATACCATTGTATCGCCCACTGTTCAAGTTTCTCAGAGTCCAGTTCATTAGTAGTTCGACTGGAATATGGATTTAATAGTAATAAATACACAAATTGTTCTTAATCTTACTGGAATCTCTCCGGGAATCATTCAGACTTGTGGTGAGGTTAGTTAGTTAGTTATATTTTATTCTCTTTGGGGAGTACAAGCGGAACTCCGTTCCGCTTACATTTCTTCCTCTTAACACTACTTATACACTAAGTCTTACTTTATAACATAACTTGTGGTGAGGTTATTATCCCTATTAATCAAATCCCCATTAACTTCCAAGTCGTTGATAATGATTTTCCAATAAAGCAAACTGGAATCGTTGGGGTTTCCTTCCTCGAGAAACAGGATGCTACGGTGATATTCAGAGACAAGCTTCCGAATAGTCTTGAAATTAGGAAAAAGGTACAGTCTTCTTCAGCATTTACATAATTCGATCTTCCTCCACGCATTAAGGTCCTAATTTCAGTCCCTGTAAGGAATAAAAATGAAACGGGATATATAAGAAGAATGGACGTTGGTCCAGGGGTTTATATGGGGGAGGTTTTGGCAGCTCAAGAGAATGTATACGAAAGTATTTGTAATTAATACTACCACTGATAAAATTGTCCTAAATGTACTCCCTGTTGAGTTAGAGGATTTCGAGGTTAGGAACCCTGCACAACGTTCATCTCGAGAAACGGACTCTAACCTAAATCGATCAAATGCGCATGCACAGCGATTTGCCCAGTTGGTAGAAATTTTCAATTTTGAGCATCTTACCGAAATAGAGAAAGTTAGCATTTTAGAAATAATCAATAAATTTCCTTATCAATTTCACCTTTCCGCAGATGGATTAGGTTGTTCTAACGCCAGTCACCAATTCACTTTAGTTACGGATCGTTACGGATCGGCCGTTGATCTGGCTGCATAATGTGAAAGATCCAGCTTCTAAAATTATGTGATGGAGAATTAGATTAAACGAGTATGATTACAATATTGTGTATAAACTTGGTAAAGTAAATTCTAATGCTGATGCACTTTCTCGAAATACAATTCCATCCAACGAAACTCATGACTCTCCGTCAAGTCTTCCTCAAGTAGAAAAGTCTCTTAAACCTTGCTCAAAGCGTTTGAAAAAGATGCTGGACTGCGCAGACCAGTTATCGGTTCCAAATACTTGTACGAGCAGGGTTGATAACCGTTTTGTTGACTATAGTAATGAGGAAATGATAGCTTCAATTTTTTGGGTGAATGGAGGAGCAAAAGAAAAAGGAAAGGAAAAAGTAAAAGAGGTAATGGAAAACCTTAATGTGGAAAAATGCTTTTGTTCTGATGATGATGACAGATGTGACATTTTAAATAAAGTGATACAAGTTCATGTTAGTTTGCCCTCTGTTGGGAATGAATGTATTCAAGCTAATATTAACGGTAAGGGATCACCTCGGTTGGGGACTAGTGATGAGCCTCCTTTGGGCGATCGGTTGGACGGGATGACTGTGCCCCAGGCAACCGCTCCCGATGTCATTGGAGGTAGTCCGTTTCCGATAAGGCTGCCAGAGTTGCAAGCCTTGCGTAATCTTGGATCGCGGCAGAGGTGTGGGTAGCCTGTTTTTGCGACTGTTGTTGTGGCAGAGGCTGACGAGCCTGGTTGTTTTTCGGAGTGTGCTGTAGCGGAGGCTGTGATGCCCAGTAGATTGTTGACGACGATGTCACGGCAGAGGTCCCCGAGGAACCTAGTGATTGCTCAGCACATATCCAGTTTTTTCGCGACCAAGACCGCGCGGGGGATCCCAGGTGAAAAAACCGCTAATGACTCTGAAAAAGACAAAATTTTAATATTGGACTCTAACAGACAAACAACTGATACAACTGTTCTCTCTCCATTACCTGTAATTTTTAATAGTAAGGATTACCTTTTTATACGTAGAGACAACCTTGTCTATTTTCTACCACGAAGAGGGTTTTCCATTGATCAACTCAAACAGTATTCTTTGAATGTCGGTGATGCCATGACCTTCCCTGCTGATAAAATTCGTATTTACCATTTGTTCTTTAAAGCTGTTTCTCAGGATAAACCAAATCCTGTTCACATTGTTTCCTCCATTAAAGCACCTATTAGATTCCTCAAATTTGAAAACCTTTAGTATATGAAAGAATGACAATAATCTTGAACCCACTGAATAGAATTTTATTATAGATACGATAAATCAAGTTTTGAATGACTCCAAATACATAATTACAGTTTGCACTGGTGAAATTGAAACTCCGTCTCATTCAAGGAGATTTGAAATTATTAAGGAGTTTCACGAGTCTATAATAGGGGGTCATAAAGGCATAATTAAACTTTATAGCAGCATTCGAGAACATTTTTATTGGCCTGGTATGGGAAGGCAAATTAAAGAATTTGTACGTACCTGCTTAATATGCCAAAGGAATAAAATTCGTTCTGCAAAGACTAGACAACCCATGCGAATTACTGACACTTCCAAGGTCGCGTTCGAAAAGGTGCAGATGGACATTGTGAGTCCATTATTTTCAACTTTAAGAGGCAATCGTTATTTACTGACGCTTCAGGATAATTTAACAAAGTATTCTGATGCTATTCCCTTACCTAATATCGATTCAGTGTCTGTCGCTGCCGCTTTGTCCGAACAGTTTATCAGTAAATTTGGTTGTCCTAGGGCTATTCATACAGATCAGGGAAGTAATTTCATTAGTGGAATTATGAAAAACTTCTGTAAGATTTTTAAAATTCAAAGAATTACCTCTACTGCATTTCTCCCTCAGTCATTAGGATCTCTGGAAAGAGCTCATCGTGTATTCATAGACTATCTTAAACATTACTGCACAAAATCAGATTAGGACGATTGGATAAGATTTGGTATATCTTCATACAATACCTCTGTACATGAGTCCACAGGTTTTACTCCACATGAATTGGTTTTTGGTGCAAAGGCCGTAATTCCTTCCGAGTTTGCGAAGCAGGAAGTTCCGCGAACCTTTATCCAGTATTTAGATCAGCTTCTCACAAGGGTCACTATTACTCAGGCAATGGCAGCAAAAAAAACCTTGAAAGAGCTAAAGAAAAAAGTAAAATACATTATGACAAAAATGCAAACTCTCACAAATTTAATTTAAATGATGATGTATACCTGCTAAGGGAACCTAAAACATCGAAATTCGATTCTTATTGGACTGGTCCTTATAAAATAATTCGAAAATTAAACGATTTAAATGTTGAAATTGTTTTATCAGCAAATAAATTTAAAATTGTTCATGTTAATATACTTAAGTTAGCGTGTATAAGACTTGATAGTACTACTGATAATCTTGAATAATGTAGAATAATGCGTTACCAATGTAAGTCTTCGCATAAGATGTATGTAAAGTAGACATGCGTGTTAGGGGTTTTGGTTATCCATGCCTTGTTTCGCCTCTAACTGCCGTAGGATCAAGGGTGGATCGAGTAGCCCTTGTGATCATGGTAGGAGTGCATCGCGAAACCAAACGCCACCGCGACGTACGCAACACTATGATGAATCGCAACATGTTAGGGCATCGCGTCAACAACACGGAGAAAATCGGAGTCAGACGAAACATTTAAACTCCTACGGCGCCCGTTCACGCAACGACAACAGAGCGGGCGCGGATCGCGCGACCTCCTCAAATTCGAGGACGGTAACCTTCCGGAACAAGACTCCGAGGACTCCCTTCGAGAGGCACCCGCCCCACGAATTCGCGTCAAAGCGAAGGAGTTGGGGGCAGGAGAAGGCGAATTCTTAATTGATACGGGAGCCGTATTAAGCATAGTAGAATTAGGCGCAGTTCACCCTGACGCACCCGTCGTTAATCGCGACCGGTTCGAAATAGAAGGATTAAAGGGAAAAATTCATTCTGAAGGCGCCACTTGTATGAAAATTAACGGTAGCTGGGTGCTATTTTATGTTGTTAAAAATTCAAATTTACCTCCAGGAATATCAGGCCTAATAGGTGGTTCGTATCTCCTACAAGAACAGGCCTGTGTATCGTATTTTCATCGCTCGTTACTAACGACTAGTCGCCCAATACACCCGATACGTTTCTCTAATTCAGCCTCAATGAACGATGCTCTTCGATCGTGCAAAAGGGGACGCGAAACCTTGCAGGCTTTCCTTGCTGAACATCCAGAATTAAAAAACGAGTCTAAGGAAAATTTGGAACAAGCACCTTCACCGCATCCTCTCACACAGCTTTCAGAAAAACAGCTCGCTGAACACGAAGCATATGATTTGGGAGAATATCAAATTAGCTACCCATCCCCTGACGAACGATTAGATAATATCATGGACAAACTGAAAATAGATCATTTAGACAACGTGGCACGCAACCTGGTAATAAAGGCAGTAGAGGAATTTTCGGACAGATTTTTCGTTCCCGGTGATCCATTCGAAAAAACTGAGACAGCAACGCATTCGATCCCTACAACTGATTCCGTCCCTGTATATACACAGCAATACTCATTCACACCGTTTCCAGAAGAAGAAATTAAAAAACAAATTATCAATCTTGAAAATTTAGGAATAATCGTTCCATCAAAATCTCCTTATAATTCTCCGCTTTAGGTAGTGCCGAAGAAAGCTGACTCCGCGGGCAATAAACGTTGGCGTATGGTAGTTGACTTTCGCAAATTAAACACAAAGACAATAGAAAACAAATTTCCTATTCCACGCATTTCCGATATATTGGATCGATTAGGAAAAGTTCGATATTTTTCGGTATTTGACGTGGCAAATGGATTTCACCAGATTCCAATGGCACCAGAAGATCAAGGAAAAACGGCATTTTCCACACCAGAAGGACACTATGAATATGGTCGCATGCCGTTCGGATTGAAAAACGTCCCAGCAACATTCCAAAGGTTAATGAATCAGACATTACGAGGGTTAATTGGAAAGGAATTGTATGTATTCTTAATACGGCAAAACGCGCAAAACCACTTACGAATTTAACCAGCATTAAGACCTCTTTCACTTGGACTGAAAGCCATCAGACAAGCTTCGAAGACCTAAGACAAACCCTATGCAAAGAACCAGTTTTGAAATACCCAAATTACGATGAACCATTTATAATAACGACAGACGCTTCTGATATAGCGGTCGATGCAGTTCTAAGCCAAGGAAAAGTCGGACAAGACCCGCCAATCGCATACGCATCACAAGTAATCACACGGGCCGAACAAAATTACTCTACCACGAAGAAAGAATGTCTAGCTATTATTTATGCAGTAAAACATTTTAGGACGTATATTTATGGACGGAAATTTGTCCTCGTTACCGATCACCGCCCATTACAATGGCTATTTTCGATTAAAGACCCAACATCGCGGCTCGCACGCTGGAGAATCAAAATTAGAACGCTTGCTAACCGTTCTCCGAACTACGATAGAGAAAGAGCGCATTACCCCGTTCCGAATAGCAGCGCACGGCGAAACCTTACACCGTTTCAACGCGAATATCCTTAAATTACATTTAGAAGAAATATTCTGGAATATACCAATAAAAATTACAGCATGCACAGGGAAAATTAAAGTGCCCGGGGAAGATCAACGCGAGGATATCATCCGATATTATCACGAAAGTTTAATAGGGGGACATAAAGGAGTAACAAAAACATATCAGCGAATATGAAGTCACTTCGATTAGCCGCGAATGCGTCGGGACATTGAAAACTTCATACGAAATTGCTACAGTTATCAAGAACAAAAGCTCGTTCGTATAAAAATGCGAGAACCAATGCTCATAACGGATACGCCAGCAAAGCCGTTTGATAAAGTGGCTCTCGACACTGTTGGTCCTCTCCCTATAACCCCCAGCGGAAATCGGCATATTTTAACTATGCAATGCCAACTTTCAAAATTTTGTATAGCAATTCCATTACCGGATATTCGTGCGCTTACCGTCGCTGATACCTTCTCACGCTATTTTATCACAATTTTCGGAACACCGCGTGCTATTCTGACCAACCGCGGGAAAAGTTTCATCAATAATTTAATTCAGGACATAGCCCGCGTCTTTAGAATAAATCACGTTACAACATCCGGTTACCGCCCCCAGACAAACGATTCACTAGAAAGAAGCCACATCGTTCTCACCGAATATTTGAAACACTATTTGGAGAGATACGAAGACTGGGATCTACTATTGCCCTTTGCAACCTACTCGTACAACACTTCGGTACACGAAGCAACTAATTTCACTCCATACGAAGTAGTATTCGGCCAGTTAGCTAGGGACCCATTTACGCCATTGTCTCGCAATGAAATTCTAACTTACCCATCATATGTACAAAATTTGGTACAGCGATTAAACGAAATTCGTTCAATAACACGGAAAAATATAAATGATAGCAAATTACGTTCCAAATTATACTACGACCGTAGAAGTAACGAAGTTAACTTCAGACCGAATGACTTGGTCTACGTTTTAAAAATACCGTGAATAGGGAAATTCGATTCCCATTATGAAGGACCATTTAAAATTTGCAATATCACGGAACAAAATAATGCTATTCTAATGAAAGAAAATGGTCAAAAATTCATGAAACACTTCGATAAGCTAAAACATGCTCATTCCAAGGAAAAACCGCCTTGAAGGTATTTAGTATCGGTTAACAATAGCCGATACGGTAATACAAAGCTTAATAAGTTAAAACTTTAACCTTGCCAACTTAAACAACAGATCTAAAAATAAATAATAAAATTTATTACCACCTAATTCTAAATATGCATAACTCTTGACCATACTGTATTACCCTTCTCTCTAACAGAACTACGATTAGAAAGATTTTATAGAATAATCACAATCAGCACAATATATTCAAATGGAAGAATGCTAATATCAATCGAAATTCCCCTCCTAGATAAAGCACCCTTCAATCTATATCGGCTACATCCATTACCATCCTTTTTACCAATTTCACGTAACATTTCCAGTGCCATTCTCATTGTACCACAAACCCCGTACCTCGCAATCGATGACTCTCATAAGGAATATCTCTTGCCAAGGGAAAGCTTCATACAAGGATGTAAGATTCATCCCACCAAATACATCTGTCAGCTTACATTGCCATTATACAGCCTAGAAAGAAGCACCAATTTGTGAAACCGACCTTCTTATTTAAATACGTACCATAGAATGGAAAAACTGTAACATAAGATCATTAAAATCAACTGGCATATTTATCAACCAACTCAAAACTACAAACACATAGCTATACTCTGTCAAAGAGAAAACACCGGTGCAAATCAAATGCAATTACCGCGCCACAGGCTATGAACTGATACAAGGTCCAGGAATTTTGAAACTAAAAAAGAATTGCCAGGTACAAATAAATAATTCAAGAATTATTGCATCAGAAGAAACAACGTCTAAAGTAAACTCGACATTTAAACAACTACCAAGCCTAAATATAACGCACCTGATACCACAGATTACACCTCATCACATACAAATAATATCCGATTATCAACAACAAGAAATACCGCTAGGACCATTACATGATAAAATAAACGAGAAATCCATTGCCTTACTAGAAATCGAACAACAAGTAAACAATTTAGCGACACATCACCGTACGCAAAGATTAACATCCTATTCAACCTATGGAATATCCTCGATAGGGATACTAATTATCATAATTGGCATAATATGGGTTGTTACAAAATTTTATAAGAATCATTGTTCAAAACTCAACATAACAGCAAAGAAACCAACTGAACAAATAGAGATGGGAACACTAAAACATAGGAAAACAGAAAATTTAGCATCACCCTATATACAACATACGATCTCGCCACCGTTTTGCATACCACCAATTCCAAGAAGTCCGCCTGCACTCACAGCAGATCTCGCGGAAAAAATAAGGAATGTCCACCTCTACTAAACAGCACAGGTAAAGACGTAATGTCAAAATCCAATCAGAACTCACCGTTACCACCTCCATTCATACCTAATATACCCTATATAAACCATCGCACAATTACACCATACCATTATCAAAGTTTTTTTTTCGTGTGAACTACAAAGACCACTATAAAGCAAAATGGGTTTCTATAGAAAACCAGGAAACGGTGTGAATCTTAATGAAACTACATAATTAAAGAACAACGCCCCCCTAGTAATAACCCATAACTAATGAAGTTTCTTTTCCCTTCTTTCATCTTAAATAGCTGCTATGCCCGTATTCGATGTAACACGTATGCCGCGACTTACCACCCCAGCAGAGAGGCTGCTCCCGCCGCCTACCCTGGGTGGCTTCCGATGGCACCATAGTCTGTGATGGATGCCATTGGACCTTCTCAGAAGACGAGGCAAGAAAATACACACCGGCGCATGTACATCGGCTGGTGCGAGAAGGCTGTATGGCCCACGCAACGGCCC